ATAAATTGATTTTTAGATTTCTGATCTTAAAGTCTTCAACATGCTCAGTATCTGCAAGAACATATCTATTTCAACGCTCACCACTTTTTCAAATCAACTTGAAGTGAGTCAAAGTTGAACCCAGTGCCAAAGAGCACCTTTGACTAATGCAAAACATTAGTGAAAGTGTCACAGGACAATTTCACACTGCAGTGAGTTTCTAAGTATGAACTTCAGTTAGACACTAACTTAAATTTCCAACTTTTGCCTTATATCAATAGACCAGGATTGCCAGAAGGAAGGTTTCAAGGGGGAAAATGCTGATTAGAACCCAGACAGTCCTGGAGAAGGAGTTTAAAACAGGACTGCTCTTTTTCCTGGGCTTCTTGGCTTGCAAAAAACTCAGGTGATTCTATCTGCAGGACAAAGACCCCTGGCCACCAACAGGCAAGCAGGAGGTCACTACTTTAATGATGTATACAATGTCACAGTGACCCCTTGTTGGTCTCAGACTCTACAATTTATAGTGTGGTTGTTATGTGACTTGTGGGAATTTATTGAGAACCATTAGTTCTCATTACAAACTTTTTTTTAGCTGCAAGTTTTTTATAGTTCATCTCTAGGATTCTTACAGAGGTCACTATGTTTGTAAAACATCTCAACACCCAAGAAGTTTGTTGACCCAAGGCAACCCTGAGAAGTAGGTAGCATCTGTTTTTGTACCTCAAAACTCTCACCTACTGTCCAGGGCTGCTCTGTCATTAAACCCTTCCCTCCCCAACTAGATAGCCAGTCACACCCCCTGCATCCTTAGTCCCCAAATACTCTCAACTGCCTCTCCCCTCCCCTTGGGTTTTTGCCTGGAGACTGCTGATAATGGGATGAATTTACAATGTGAAAGAGTCAGTAGGTGCCAGCATCTTAAAACTGAGATTCTCACAGCTAGGGGTGTGTCAATGAGCAGACCTGATATTAAGTAGCACCTGTTCTGACAGCTCAGTTCCCATATCCCATTGGTTGTTAAATACTTTAGTATCGCCCTGCATATGGAATTTGAACAAGACCAGGACTGTATGTAAATTCCTTCTCTCCCATTCAATTTCTGTTCCCTTACCCCAACCAAGATTCTATCTCAGGAATCAGTGGTAAAGTGAGTCACCCCAACCAATGAAGGTGTATGATAACCTGCAGGTGGCTTGATTCAGAAAAAAAAAAAAATCAAAGAACCAAACCTTCTATTGTTACTGCAATGGTTCATGGGCCTGGTAGCAGGTGAGAAAAATACATGGGAGAGATTTTTTTACCAAGTGATTCTAATATGTAGCCAAGGTTGATAACCACTGGGTTGCTATTTCTAAATACACTGTATCTGTGCTTTAGGGTCTACAATGCTTTAATTCAAAAGAAAATTTTATAGAGGAGTGCCAGTTACTTTAGCTGAGCGGGAGAAATATTATGGATCAGTTTGGACATCACATAATGTAGTCAGGTTCGTCTTCCACCTACACATGGGATGCCAGCATTGTGTCTTAAATTCTCATCTTATTTAACCAACAGGGAAATCAGACTGAATGAAGACTCTGGTAAGAGGTGCTGTGGAACCCGCTGGGGCATGCCGATGGAAGCCTTCTCTTCATGGTTATGTGCATGCATGGAAAAACAAACTCCATGGTACTGTGCTGTGGAGCGCTGAAACTGATTTTTAAAAAAAGCAAAACCTATGCCCTTAAGACACTACTACTTCCTGCTATTTCCTCTTCTCAAGTTTAGTCCAGGCTGGCATTTCTGTATTAAATTGTTTTTCCTGCTGTCTTATATTGTAAAGCTTCCTGAGAAATCCAACATTAAGTTGGCCACACAAGAGAAAAATCAGGAAAAGCCGACTCCCTCCGCCTTCTTTTGTTAGCATTGTTGTTTTTTAACAAGTCAAGTCCAAAATGAAAACCACGGAGGCCTTCCATCACAGACATCCATCATAAGCCACGTTGAAGGCATTCTCAAAATCCTATTCGATAGCCCTGCTCAGATGAATAAGAGAAATTTGCTTGGAAAATCTGATACTAGAAACATTTCTGGGGAGTCAGGTTGAAGATGGGGGAATAGGCAAGGATCATTAAGCCAAATGGCTTAAGATTAGAGAACTATGTCCCTAAAATTGCATTTTTTTTCTATTACAGTTTTTCCACAGTAATTTCAAAATCCAAGTGGTTGTTTAATTTTTTATGTGCTCAGTGTTTTTCTCCCTCTCGGTCACTTTTGTTCATTAAAGTGAATATTTTCTATCTTGATTTTGGAGCCTCCACCAAAGGTCATATACCATACCTAAAGTAAGGACTTTAAGCAATTAGGGGATCTTTATTTGACAGAGAAACTGCCATATAGTTTCCTAACCCACAACTATAAAAATCACACATGCAGCAATCATTCATTCTGCTGAGCACAGTGCTTACTGGCAGTGTCTGGTAAAAGGCTCAGCTATGGGACCCAGCTCTAGCACCTTCTTAGACCTGCCTCTTATTAAGTCTTACTGTGGGCCAGGCATGGGCATTCTGTGCTTTAAATCCATTTGCTTGTTTAATCCTCACTACAGATATGATTCCCCTAATTTAACAAATGAAGAAACTGAGTTCAAAGTAGTTAAGTTTACTTGCTCCAAGCCATGCAGACTGTATACAGCACACCCAAAGAAGGGAAGCCCAATTTGTCTCACTCAAAAGCCTCAGTAGCGAACCTATATTCCCTTGTGGGACAGAGACTATGAAACAGAATCTGAAAGCAAGAGCAAACGCATGCCTCATCTCCTGTGCTGAATCCTCCCAGGGGCCGCCTTGGAGAACACTGGGGCTGAAGAGACTGTGGCAGGGACAGAGATCAGAGCGTTCACGTAGGCCAGGCTTTCTCCACCTCTCACCATAGACATCTTGGGCTAGATAATTCTTTTTTGTGTAATGATCCATTTTTTGATGTTTAGCATCCCTGTCGCCTACACACTAGATGCCAACAGCTCCCCACTCCCCATCCCAGTTGAGACAACCGAGAATGAATTAGACACTCCAAAATGTCTTCTGGGACCTGGGACATAGACTAAACTGGAAGTGGGGAGCCCTGGAAGTGTGCCAGGCCAACAGCCCTCCTCCACCCCATCCATTAACAAAAGGCTGCAAATGACAATTGGAATCCAAATAGAGTGACTCAAATCAAAGGAGAAAAGATGCCACTAGGACAGGAAGGCTTGAGACTCCTCCGAAGCAATCTGCATGCAGGGGATTGACTGGATTGACATCTGCCCCACCTCCTGCCCCAAGTCAGTGAATCATTACAGAGAGTCCCTGCTCACATTCTTCTAGGAACCATCTAGTGATGTCACCTTGCCATGTCTGGTTTATGTCACACCCTGATAGATTCATTTTTCTGCTCTGTGCTGTGGGCTAGATTTCCCATCTCTCAAAAGAACAACACATGGAGGCATTAGATTTGGCAGAGATGAAGTCTTGAGGTCAGTGTATAAAATCTTGCTACTAGTCTGGTTTCCTTCACAGCAAAAAGATTCTCTTGTTCTACATAATGTCCATCCCCTATATTCCAGGGACGCGGGACCTGACATTATGTAAGTTGATGATGCACCCCACCCCCCCACAGAAACTAGGCAAAAAAGCCACAAAAGGCAGTTCTTTACATCTTGGAATGTTAAGGCTTAAGTTATAGTTAAGACCCTGAGAAGCTCCAGGTAATGAATTTTAACCTGAGCCCCAGGCCATGTTAGCAAAACACAGTAACCATGACACAGATTTAATATATTTGTTGGTTTTGGCGTACTAATCTTTTTCTCTCTCCAAACATTGGTCCGGGTGGAACTGCAGACACTTTCAACTCCATTTCAAGGCGATACCTAGGCTGTATGCAAGCAATTTCCTTAACAGTTGATAACAAAGAGGGAGGGAGCCCAGGAATGTTCTAAGATTCCAAAGGTATTTTTTCCAGAGCAACTCTCTTGCAAGTCCATCTGCAATTCATTTTCTCTTTCAAACAGGCTCAAGACAGTGGGCTCTGCAGAATTACATACAATCCTGAAAAGCTTTATAGCTTGGTCTTTTCAGGGTCCTTTTGCCTCCTGCCATCCCTGGATGTCACGAGGGGTGTGGCCCTTTGTTGTCACGGCAACGGACTGCTACTAGGTTGGCTGCCAACCACTGGAGCCTAGAAATGCCACAGGACACTTCTCCTTTGGACCTGTGGGGTCCCAAACTAGATCAACAGCATTGTGCCCTTGCTAGAAATAACTCTGGGGGTTTCCCTCGAGTGAACTGGATCCCATACCCGAGCTTGGCCTTGAAATCTCTTCCTGCCACTGGACTGAGCGGACAGAATGAGTTATTTCAGGCAGGAGAGCTTCCTTTGAGCACAGGACGTCTCTGCTCCTGCCAGATGATTCCAAGGATGAGTCTGATTTTATCCTCCTCCTTTCTAATCTCCCTTCTGATGTTCAGGCCATGTGTGTGTCTCACAAGCAGCTTTACAAGTAAGGGAGCAAGCAAAGAAAACACAAAGGAGCTGCGTCTTCCACCCCACCCCTTGAAACCTTCTTCTGTTACATAAACCTCAAGGAATGAAAAAAGAATCATTGGCTAAACAGCCATGTCTGAAAACGTGCGGCTTTTCCCTATTCAGGATCATGTCATCCTCTGTTTTCATCAGTACCCATGGGCCGGGCCCTGAAGCTGGTACACTGGAAGCACTTGATGCCCATGCCAACCAGGTAAATCCCACAGTCCATTATGGCTCGTCTCGTTGGAGCGTAGAGAACACCAGCCAATGGGCAGAAATGAAAATGAAATTCAAGTACGTGAACTCTTTGCCTAATTACCCAAACAGGAAGCCCCCGAACTGGTCTCTCTGCTCCCTCCCTCACTCTCCTGCAGTCAATTTTCCTTGAAACAACCAGAATGATCAAATGGGAATCAGACCATGTCACCCCTCTCTGCTCAGAACCATAAAATGCAATGTTTTATCATGGCACCCACCTCTGGCCCACGAACTGCTCCCTCACAGATCGTATCTCCTCCCTTGGTTCTCTCCGTGACTCTGTCCCAGACCTCTGGCCGGCTTCCTTTTCTTCATATGCACAGTCAGTTCCTGTCCTTAGCTGGTTCAAATGTCTACTGTGCAGGGAAGCCTTGGCAGCCAATCAAACCCTTTCCCAGCCTCCCACCCAGATTATTCTCTCTCCCTCACCCTCATCTTGTTCCTTGTCACATGAAACATTCGACGTCAATCGGTTTGTTTGTCGTCTCCCCTGAAAGGTCAGTTCTGTGACAGCAGTGACTTTGAGAGCAGGAGGGCAGTCAAGAAAGGCTTCTCTGAGGAGGTGACATTTGAGCAGCGACCTCAGTGACCCCTGAGTGATGGGATGGGTCGTGCTGGAGGAAGAGAATTCCTGTCAGGACATGAACACCAAGACTCTGAAGTAGAACTGGGTTTGACAGTCCTGAGAAAAAATCATGAAAAAAATGTTTTCAATAATTGTACAATTTCTTAACATTGGCTTCTTCTCTTTCTGGGATAAATAAGAACAGCAAACTTCTCTTCCCAATGCCGTTCATTATGTCTGATAGAATTAGACGAAGACTGTATTTTTACAGATTCACAAATTCTTTCCTCTAAGCACAAACAGTGCCTGTAGTATAAAATGTGGGGCCAGTACGTATTTTGTGAAAAATGGTGTGTCTGAGGAAAAGAAAGCCCCACCTGCTAATCCATCCCTCCTTTAGCCCCCAGAAAGATCCCTGTCTCAACTTTCAATACTTCTCCCAGTCTAAATCCCCCTCTAACCAGCTCAGGTCTAATCGAGGAGAAGAATTTAAAAAGACCAGAGGCCTTTCCTTGGACAGGCTAAGAGCTCATTTGAGGTAATTCCCAGTCTCTCCATTACTGGATGTAGTTTCTTTTGTTAGGGAGAGAGGGGATTAGAGGTGTTGTGAATCCTTAAAATATATATGAGATAACACAAACCAAAGCTTAGTTTAGAGCAAGACACCACCAGCCAAGTAATACCATGAGGGATGATAGAAGAATTTAGGCCAGGCATTTGTGATTTAATTATGCCCAAAGATCTGGGTTGGTCACGTTTTCAAGGTGCTTTGACCTCTTTATGTGCCTCTGCATAAAAAGCCAAAGGCCCATCTATCATCTAGTGTACAGGAAATAGCTTATAAGCTATTTCATCCCTAGGTGGTAGCACCTGAACCTGCTGCCTCTCCCACAGATAGTTCCATTATAATTTCATTTTGCTGAAAGACTTATTAAGCATCTGCCATGAACAAGGCTTTCTAGTCACTGATTAAACTTGTTTTATTTCAGCAGTTCTTAGTAGGATATGGTGATTACAATTAGGTTGGGAGAGGCATAAGCATTTTGAAAAAAAAATATGTATAACAACTATATTTTCATGATACAAACTATAAAAATTAAAGCTCAACGAAAATCTTCTTGGCTGGTGGCCTTGTGCCAGTTGACCCTAGACCTTGAACTTCAGGTTCTCAACCTCTCTTTGCCTCTCCCTCCTCAGGGTGCTAAGAGCTTCCTGCCATTGCTGTCCGGTTGCCAGCTCCCAGCGGCCTCTCAGCCTCTCTTTTATCACGCACACCAACAACTCTCTGTGTTCTAG